CAGGGGGTTCTTTTTCTCTGTGGCGCGGCAGGGAGGGAACGTGCCAGTCCCGGAGGTGAGTGCCCTAAGCAGCCAGGGCGCAGGGCCGGGCCGGGACTCACCCTCGTGTTGTTCCGCTCGGCTTTCAGCTCCGAAATCTCCTCTTCCCTCTCCAGCAGCTGCTCGCGACAGGTACCGAGCTCTCTCGTGAGGGTGGCAAACTCCTGCAAAAGGCCACAATGCTCCAGCCTGCGGACAGGGCAGAGCGGCTGGGAGGTGAGTGCCCTAAGCAGCCAGGGCGCAGGGCCGGGCCGGGACTCACCCTCGTGTTGTTCCGCTCGGCTTTCAGCTCCGAAATCTCCTCTTCCCTCTCCAGCAGCTGCTCGCGACAGGTACCGAGCTCTCTCGTGAGGGTGGCAAACTCCTGCAAAAGGCCACAATGCTCCAGCCTGCGGACAGGGCAGAGCGGCTGGGCAGGGGCCTGAGAGCTGGATTCGCCTCACCCTGCAGCTTCCTCCTCTCCCCACACCCCTCTCCTGAGCCAGCGTGGCCCCGCGGCTGCCCGGGGCAGGCAGCTAGCCCGGCCTGCTCAGCAGAGCCAAGGGGAGGGGGCCACCCCAGAGGGACCTGCAGCCAGAGCGGTGCTGGCTGGAAAACCTGCCTTGGCAGTAATTTCAGGGGGCTGTTACTGCCCCCACCTCCATCAAACCCAGGGACCCCCAGAACTCCACCCCGCTCATCACGGCTGCAGCAGGACAACTCAGGGAAGGAGGACAGCTATCGATCCCGACCAAGTGCTGCTTTTTAAGCTGAAGCCCCCACCTTCAATAAGACCTACTGACCAGCCACACCCGTGTCAGGCAGAATGACTTTGCCATCACATAAGAACGGTGTGATGGGGTGGACAAAGCCTGACATCCATGCTGGAGGCCTTTCAGCACCCTGGCCAGCAACAGGAGGAGTAGAGAGGTCCTCCAAGCAGAACAGAGGGGCAGCTTCCACTGCAGCCAATCAGGGTGCAGCAGGCTGCTATAAAAGGAGCTGTTAGGCCAAGCCTGTCACTTTCTTCCTGGAGCTTGATCCAGGTAGATCTCAGGGCTGAGTGGGGAATACCAGCACTCTGGACAGCTCCGGGTGAGAGCCGGGCATCCTATCTGGTGGGAGCCAGGTCCTGTGGCTGAAGGCTAGCCAAGAAACCAGACAACCCTGGAGAAGGGGAAGGCAACCACAAAGCCCTAGAGAAGGGTTGGATAGAACAGCATCCCGGGGAAGTGGCCCAGGGATGTGACAGCAACTAATTACTTGAAACTCAGCAGGTAACTGCTACTTGCAGGGTCTCTGGGCTGGGACTCAGAGGAGTGGGTGGGCCTGGGTCCCTCCCCTCCCCCCAAACTCTCCTACAAACTGTACCCGGGGTTGTAAAAGAAGATGCCTGACCTCAGACCACTTATTGGATGCTATCTTGCCCACAGACAGGTGAGTAGAGACTGAAAGACTCCCCTCAGCCACCAAGGGCCACCCACACGAAGGGCAGAACCCTTTGCAAATGGCCATAGTGGGTCAGACCAAAGGTCCATCTAGTCCAATATCCCGTCTGCTGACAGTGGCCAATGCCAGGTGCCCCAGAGAGAGGGAACACAACAGGTAATCCTCACATGATCCCTCTCCTGTCATCCATTTCCAGACACACAGAGGTAGGGGACATCATCCCTGCCACCCTGGCTAATAACCACTGATGGACTTAGCCTCCATGAATCTATCTAGCTCTCTTTTGAATCCTGTTCAAGTCCTAGCCTTCACCACATCCTCTGGCAAGGAGTTCCGCAGGTTGACTGTGCGCTGAGTGAAGAAAAATCTTCCTTTTGGTTGTTTTAAAATCTGCTGCCTGTTCATTTCATTTGGTGACCCCTAGTTCTTGTATTGTGGGAATAAGTAAATAACTTTTCCTTATTCACTTTTCCTATACCAGTCAGGATTTTAGAGACCTCTATCCTATCCCCCCTTAGTCTCCTCTCTTCTAAGCTGAAAAGTCCAAGTCTTTTTAAAACAGCCACTCAGTGTGCAGCAGACAGAATGGAAATCAAGAAAGGGATAGAGACTAGAACAGAGAATATCTTATCCCCTCTGTATAAAGCCATGCGAGACCCCCAGCTTGAATACTCTGTAGAGATGTTGTCACCTTATGCCAAAAAAGATCTCTTGGCATTGGAAAAGGTTCAGAAAAGGGCAACAAAAATGATGAGGCATATGGAACGGCTGCCGTATAAGGAGAGATTAAGACTGGGATTTTTCAGCTTGAATAAGAAATGACGGAGGGGGAATGATCGAGGTCTATAAAATCATGACTGATTGGGAGAAAGCAAATAAAGAAGCGTTATTTTCTCCTTCCCATCACATAAGAACTAAGTCACCAAATGAAACAAATAGGTAGCAGGTTGAAAACAAACAAAAGGAAGTATTCCTTCATGCAGAACAGTTAACCTGTGGAACTCCTTGCCAGAGGAAGTTGTGAAGTCCAAAGACTACAATAGATTTTAAAAAAGAACTAGCTAAATTCATGGGGAAGTGCATTGATAGCTATTGGCCAGGATAAGCAGGGACGGTGGCCTTGGCCTCTGTTTGTCAGAAGCTGGGAACCGGCAAGAGGATGATCACAGGATTCTCCGTTCTGTTCACTCCCTCTGGGGCACCTGGCATTGGCCACTGTCAAAGACAAGACACTGGGCTGGATTGTCCTATCGTCTAACCCAGCTTGGCTGTTCTGATGATCTTATGTCCCTCCCCCGACCCCACTCCCCACCCAGGACACTGCAGAAGCCACCGTCCAATTCTTAGTCCTTATTTGCAGCAGTAACGTGCTCCCCGGAGCTGCGCAGCTGAAAAGGCCAGCACTGCCGGCGCGCCCCGCCGAGGGGCAGCAAGGGCTGATGTCAGCTCTCCAGAGACAGCACTGCTCCCCAGGCTGGGAAAGGATAACCCCCCTTCGGAGGTTTAATCCTGTTGCAGCACTTGCTGGCTCCCAGTTTGGGCGCTGCTCCTCACCAGAGCGGGCCTAGGAACCAGCCAGAGCAGAAATGGGCTGCAGTCTTCACATCCGCTGTTCGGCTGGAGGCGGGTCTATTCCCAGCATCTCCCCTACCACCCCATCCCGTCCGTCAGCCCTTGGCCTCCCCTAGCCAGCACGCTCACCCATGCTCTCTTCTCCCACCCACCCCCTGCTGGAGTGGCCTCTTCTGCAGAGAGAGGCTGACCCCACCTGCTGGGTCCCACTGTCACTCCCCTGGCGTGGAGGCTGTTGGAAACGCACCCCGCAGCATCTCCCCAGAGACAGGTGCATCTTTGGAAAGCCGTGGGCCAGACTCAGGGGCGGGACTAAACTAGAGTCACTCTCAGCTTCCTCCAGAGTGTAAAGGGCACCAGTGAGACACTTGTCGCCTCTGGGGCAGGGACTGCCTCAGTTTACCTGTGCTCACTGGAGTCCCTTGCCAACGCCGGCACCCCTTACTAGCAGGGCCGCCGACAGTGTGAGAAGTGGGAAATCAGAATAGCATAGGGGCTACTTTACCTCACCCCCATTTACACCTTCCCACCAGCCCTTACTTGCTGTGGTCCTCTCCTGGCACCTTGGCAGGCGAGTTACACCCACGGAGACTCGGGGGGAAAAATTCAGAGGGGACTGGCAAGGGGGGCCACCAGCATTACGGACGGGACCTTCTCGGAGCCAGAGTCCGCTGTGATCTTGACCCTTAGTGCCCAGCCTGTGACTTGACTCTTGGGAGCAGCGACAAGGGGGCCAAGTGGCAGAATAGATTCCCGGCATCGTTCCTTTCTCGTTGGCTTTCCTTGAGGTGAGAGCAAAGGGAAAGTGTCTCCTCCCTCTGTCACCCACCAGGAGCCCTTGCAGAACCGCGCCCCACGTCCTGCTCCGACTGTAGATCTTTGCTCGGGCAGCGACGGCTGCATGTCATAAGCTCCCCACTCTAAACAGGGATACTTGTAAGTGGATTAGAAAGTGAAAGAGGGAGGCCTAATTGTGGCTCAAATTAAGAACACTTAACAACACAGCTTGGAAATTGACCAAAAGGGCCCACGGAGACCTGCCGGAGACCCCCCAAAAAAGCAGCCCAGGGCATTCCAGATCCTCATGGCTCGTAGTCAAACCCAGAGTTCAGCTAAGTTTAACCAATCAGCCAGACACACGCTACCTGCTCCGTGGCTCATTGTTTGCCCCTCTGCCGGGCAGGACTGAAGCTAAAGGGCAGCATTGGCACAGAACAAATGGAGGTAAACCAAAGACGAATCTAGAACTCAGAAGAGGATTTCTAACCTGCAGTGCAGGGAGGCTCTGGAACACAAGCAGCGTGGGCAAAACAGAACCGGTTATAAAAGATGGCGCTCGATGTGTTTCTGAATAGGGTGATATGATGGGATCACCTGAAAAACGTCCCTTCCAGCTCTATGGCCTTAACGTTCCATCTAGAAGAGCATTAGCAAAGCACAGCGAAGGTACTCCCAAGTCAAGGAACGGCAACGTTGAGGCTGCCCGCATAACCTTAACTCTGCCCTGCTGGGCGTGCACTGTCTGAGAGATCCGCAGCTGGAGATGCTGTAAATCTCTATAGTTCTGCTGCAGTTACTGGGGAGTGTCTGGCCCAACAGTACTTAGCTACACAAGCATCGTCCATCTTTCCCACCGCTCCCTTGCCTCATCCCGGGGCTCGCGGTGGCTGAATTAGCCAGCTCTCTCACCGACATGGGCCTGGGTCTTGGCCCAGGAAATCCAGATTTACAGCAGCATAACTAAGAGAGAATCCCGGCCCTCGCTTACAGGCTGGGTGGTGCAGCCCAAGAAAAGAAGGACTCCCCTGAACATGAGTTTGGTCTGGGTTTATGGCGCATCAACTCAGCTGCTTTTTTGTATTTCCTCCCTGCTTGTCCAATGACCCCGGGTCCCGGGGAGAAATGCTCCTCAGCTCCAGCAGAGCGATGGATCGTCCTACTCCAGCTCAGTTCCCTGCATTCCCAGTGAGCACAGCCCTGGCTCTGCTACACGCCTACCACAGTAACTCCCAGGGGTGCAAAGGTCCAACACTCCCACACCGTCTGTCACTGGCACCCGTGCAAAGTGCACCCACACTGCCCAAGCATCAGTAACCAGGCACAGGGCCAGCTGCGAATCCCCCAGGCACCAGTTCTCCAGCCAGCCCCCAAACACCGCAGCACAGACCCGTCCTCGTGGCAATCATCTCGTGGACACTTTCCACCCACGGTCCTGTTACGTTATTGGAGTGTGAGGAGAGCAGCGGGGTCACTGCTGCACCCCTGGGGGGGTGTTCGCCCCAAAAGTGGTACAAAGGGGGCCGTGTGAGGGGTCAAACAAAAGCTGACTTCCTTCTGATTCTGTATCTGCTCTTCATAGATCTG